CTTGAGGGCTGAAGGGGGTCCGGGGGTGAGCGGATGGTCGGGGGCACATGGGGGGAAGGTAGGACGGGGGTGCTGAGGTGCCGAGCCCCCTGCCAAGCCCCCCAGTCCACGACACCAGCATCATGCGCAGCGGCGAGCAGCAAAGCCTGCGGCGCCGTTCCGCGCCGCAGAACCCCCCCTCCATCCTTAGCCCACCTGCCAGGAGTGCACGCGCCGCCCCAGCATGTCGGTGAGCATGGCGGAGAGCATGCCGGTGTGCTGCACGCGATCTGACACCTTGAGCGCCATGTACACGCAGGTCACGTAGACCGACAGGAGGGTGGGCACGCTCTTGGTGGCGCGCAGGAACATCCTCTGTGAGGGGGTGCATGCAGGGTTGGGGGGGGATTTGCGCTCTGGGCCAGGGGACTGCCCCTGCGAGCATGGCGGGGCAGGATCCAGGGACCGCGAGGGGAAGGGGCCAGCCTCATCCTTCGCATGCCAGCGCTGTAGAGGGAGCCTGAACCCATGCATCACCCGAGTGGTGGAGCATCCCTCACCCTCTCCCACCGACTCGCACCTCGCGCAACGCCAGCTTCCCACCCAGGGCCTCCGTGGTGTATGGGAGGAAGTAGCCATTGGATACCGCCAGCTGGAACATGGGGATGTGATTTTGCTGCAGCACCAGATGGGAAGTGCAATGTGTGAGTCAGGAACTACACCTTGCCGCTTGCTGCGCCTGCTCACCACTGCCACCGCCCAATGCAGAGTGTCACCTGGCTGGCGCTGCAAGTGCACCCCCCGACGGCATCCCTTTACCGCCCCCCCAACCCCCCCCCCACGCCCCCCAACCCCCCCCCCAGCCCCCCAACCCCCCCCATCACACCAGGAGTCGCTGGAAGTAGGAGGCACCCAGGACCACCGAGATGGCGGGGATCCCAAATTTGCGGGCGCAGCAGACCATGAGACAATCCTCGTGGACTGGGGCCATGTGGAGAGCATCTGTAGTGCACAGAAACCGTGATAAAAAGAATGAAGGAAGATGGCGTGACCAAGCCAAGACATCCCAAAGGAGTACATAGCTGCACCCCACCCCACCTCCCTAAAAAGAAACGATGTCATACTGTGGCCTGTTGAAGGGCTGATTACACCCAGGCACCTTGCAACGCAGAGCCGGGACCCCCTCTCCTGACAACGATATAGGTTGGTGCAAGGAACGTCGATGCCGAGTATCCCTGGGAGAAGAGGTTCTGGCCGCCCCTCACTGTGGCCCTCCTCCCACCCACCCTCCCACAGCGCAGCTCCCACCTGGCAGGGGGAGCTGGCAGATGGTCTGGTTGGCCTCGCTCAGGAGCTGACGCGTGATCTCTTGCTGGCCCCGTGGCAGTGGCCAGGTTGGCAGCATCAGAAAGTACCGGGTAGAAGGGTCTCTTGGGAGTACACTCTGAGGTGCAGCGGAGGCCATGGCGGAGGATGTCTCCACGCTGTCCGAGGCAGGGCACATGGCGTAGCTGGCAGAGGAATCACCTGCAAACCCGGCCCGGGGGAGGAAAGGAGAAGGGGGGAGGAGTAGGAATGGAGAGCCTGGCCAATGTTTCCAGGGCCAGGAGCGGCATTAGGCCAGACTTGGCATGCGTCTGCATGCCATTTACCAGCATGAGAGCAGTCCTGGTACGCTGCAAGGATCCAGTACCTGAAGGATTCTCTCCTTGGCTTCCTTGGACAAGACCTGGCACCTTCATGGATCTGTGAAATTGTCGAACGGGCGAAGAGCGTCGGTGGAGGCGGCAATCAGACAGGATTTCGGAGGATGAGAACAATTTGGCGGGCTAATATGACGGAACAAGGGTCCACACGCTCTCGTGAACACCTTGTTGGCGAACAAACCCATACCCCCGCAGCCCGACTTTCGCGGGAGACACGCGCCAGTTCAACCCTTCAAATACCCGACGACGGACCTGTGCACTGCATGAATCCTCCGATGAGACCTAATAACAATGTTCGATATCCCGCAAGGAGAGCGCCCACTACCTGGAAGGCGATTGGAGGATGCTTCGCGGTCCGGCGACTCCCCTCGTGACTTCAGTCGAGTGTGAGGCCCGAAAATGGGATGGTGAGCCGCAGTACACCAGATAATGGCTATAATGAAGCGAAAGAGCTTCTGTGCGTGTCAGTTAGCGTGCAGGCTTCGTCTTTGAGCGAGACACCACCTCCAGTGCGCCCCTAGGCCACGCTGGGTGTTACGACTGTACAGCACCGCTCGATGTGTCAAGGGGGGGATCACAAGTCACTGTAATGTCCGTCGAAAATAATTGAAGATCATGAGGGTATGAGGGGTAGCACCTTCGTCGGTCCATTTGATACTGCTGGAAATGCGAACCCAGGGGCTACCAAACCAATTGCCCCGGGTGAGTGCTCATTAACTTCATTTGTACGGCTTCCAGGCTGCACCACTGCTGGGTCCACAGTGCAACTGAGACTCGTTATAACCTCAATCAACTATCTTTTGGGTCGAGGGGGGACCTTCGCCGTATCGGTGTGCATACAGGAAGGACATGTCGAAGAATCTCGGTACGTACAAGTTTGTCAACCATCACATGGGCAAGACAATTGGCATCTTTGCCTGATGTACGCGTCGTGGCGCATCACGATCTTGAGCCAGACGCATTCTAAAGACATGAAAATGGCACAATTCAAATGCGAGCCCCCCTCCCGCAAGGTGTACGATGAGGATTCCTGTACTGACTGTCGCTGGCCTCCATGTACCGCAGATTCTTGTGGGATGTTTAGCGATCCGACAGGAGACCTAGAATGCATACGCAGTCATAACACAGTCCAGACCGATAATCATTGGTTCATGTATGTAATCCTACATTAAAGGGCCCGGCTGCATGGCACAGCTAATGCGGCGCCCCGTGCTCCGTACAGTGTATCTCGTGTGCCCATGTCAGCCCGGTACGAAACGCAGAGGCGTGCACCACACCACGCAATTGTCGATTCGTCATGCAGACCCAGGGTATCGCACTCTGCGACAAGGTTACCTGCGGTGTGCCGAGGCGACGATGCTATGTGTCTCGCGGCTCCAAATGGTAACATCATGGACGCCCCCCCACATCTGAAGGGGGAGCGGGGAGTGCATACGCGACAGAACTCTGGCCCGATTCCTTGCTGCTTCACTCCGCTCCCGGTCCTTCGAGGACCACGATCGCGAAGGCCTGCTCGGCTTTGTCGACCCCGCTCCCCTCCCTACCCCTCAGTCCGCTCCACGGCGGAAGGCCTCCCAGCCCTCCCCCGGCACGAGCCAGGCGCCCCTGTCCGCCTGCACATGCCACATCGCCACCTGTAAACGTGCAATTGCGACGTACTTCTTGAGGAGGGTCATTGCCCGAGTGACTAGGGCCGCAATGTACGATCGGGGAGTCTAGCCCCTGCTGGGATGCCATCTGAGAGAGACCCCACGAGCACAACGCCGCTGCTTGAGCCGCCACAAGCTGTCCCTCCCCCCCTTCTGGCGCAGGACGGCGCCACATGCACAGCCGAGCTATAGAGCCCTCCCCCCCCTCCACACATGCCCACTCCCTCGCACCGCGGCATGCAGCCGCTTCTCCATGGTCTGGAGCCCGCCCTGGGCGGTCAGGGGGTCGACCGCCAGCGCCTCCAGCGCCACGCCGCCCTCTCGCCGCCACGGGTCCATGGCGAAGCTGTAGAGCGGGCGCCCCACCACGTGCACGTACGACAGGCACACTGCGCGGGCGTGTAATGGGGGATTGGGGGAGGGAGTTTGCGCAGGGCTGGGATATGACTTCGGGAAAGGGCGTTTCCACCTGCATGGCGCCATACGGTCGCCAGGCCCGCACGGCCGCCGCACGGCCGCCACGGATGTGCACGGTCGCAAGGCCGCCGCGCACTCTGTCCCCCTCCAGAGCTGTCCCATCCACCCTTTCTTCCTCCTCCCCCCACCCCCCACCGAAAATGTACTCCCACTCCCGGCGCCGCACCGTACAGCAGCCCGTCCTCCTCCTGACGCTGCGTCTTGCCCAGCAGCTCCACGGTGACGCACCCGCCAACGCAGAGCACGGGGCGTGGCAGGCGGAAGGCCTGCACCTCCGCAACCCCGGGCTGCACCGGGAACACCGCCGACACCCAGGTCAGCGTGGCTGGGTCCCAGCCGCCGCGCTCTGGCGCCGCGGCCGCCGCGCGCCCCGCGTCCAGCGAGGGCACAGCGGTCGCGGGACCGGCGGGGGTGCCGCCGCCAGTCGGGGTGCCGGCGTTGGCGAGGATGCCGCCGCCGCCCGGCATGGCCACGCCGGCGGCGCCCCCGTCGCCGTCCGGCCCGAGCCCACCGGCTGCCACCCCCCCGGGCCACGGGGCCCCTGCGCCATGGCCCGCCCCTTCCATGGCGACGACGCCAGGGACCTGTGGCAGCACTGCCTCGCCCAGCTGCCAAGAGCCCGGGTGGAAGAGCATGGGGCCGCCTATCCGGAACCGCACGCCCACGGGGGCATAGACTGGGCCGCCGGGCTGGAACCAGGCCTGGAAGGGGCGCAGGCGGATCTCCTGCACCAGCACCAGCGGGTGCGCCAGGCGTAGGGCCACCCAGTCTCTGGACCCTGGGTCCGGCGACCCCCGGCTGGACCAGTAGCTCAGGCCCAGGCCAAAGGTGACGCGCTCCTCCGGCAGAAGCAGGTTGATGGCGCTCTCTTCGCGGTGGTCGGTGGTGGAGGCGCCCAGCACGTTGCGGGCCAGGCTGGAGGCGGGGTCAGGGCCCAGGCACGACACAAGCGCCACCAGCCTGTGGTTACGTGTGGGTGGGGTGCGCAGTGAGTATGCATCCCCGGGGGCTGGGGGAGGGAGGGAAGGGGCGGGAGAGTCGATGTGCGGGCGGAGTAAAAAGGGGCGCCGCCGTTCCATTGCCAGGACCAGGGACCAGCGCTGGGTCAGGGCATAATCTGAGTACTGCAGGACTGAGCTGGCAAGTGGCGCTGGGAGGCCAGGCCCTCAGGTGGCAGGGCTGCTCGTCGAGGCAGACAGCAGAGCTACCTAGCACCCACCCCAGTCCCGGCCCCAAGTACTCCCCCAGCACTGCGGCCCCTCTATGCCCCCCCTACCGTTTGTGTACCCAGAGGCGAGCCTGCTGCATGGGCAGGGGGCCAGGGTCATGCACGGACCGCATTTCCCTGTCTCCCACGGGCAGGTGGACCAGTGGATCCGCGTCCGAGCGAGGGTGCTCCACGACCAGGCGCCCCAGCATCAGCCTGCGAGCAGCCTCAGCCAGCGTGGGGTACGGCTGCAGGCTGGGGTGTGCCAGCCAGACGTCTGCCTCTCGGACTGCAAGAGTGCATTGCAAGGAACAAGAAGGTGTGACAGGCGGTCACCGCGCAGCTGCGGAGCACTTCAGATCCCCTCGAGATGGACAGTTCTGAAAACGACCCCCGCTCGACCCTCAAGCTCATCAGGAGCAGGACAGGCAGCCTGACCGACCTATGGATCTCCAGAGACGGCACACCAGCTCCACCGCCTGCAGGGCGTCTGTGGGAAGTCCAGAGAACACCCTGGCCAGCACCTCCACCTGTTTAGGGTGGGGCGGTGAGGGAGCGATGCACTGGAAGAACGGCTGGGTAACAACTCGCATACTTCCTTAGTGGTCCCATGCATGCGACCTCCATGTTGATAGATTGGCGCACCGGGAGACCCTGGATGTCGAGAGGGCCAGACATGGTTGCAGGCACTGCGCCTGGTGCCGAGGGAACCTCGCTTCAATCCTACCACTCCTACATGCCCTTCCTCAGGTCACAGGTTCAGCTAAGCGAGCCGTTTAAGGACCTGAAAATTCCCATAATGAGATGACATGGACTTGTCGTAGATCTTCCGAGAGTCTCTCGGCTCCTCCAGATCACTTCTCCAGCCTGGGTCCCCAGAGCGCGCGCGCGATGCGACACTGAGCACCGAAATGGCCGCGAGAGAACGCCCACCATTCTCCCACTCAAGGCCTGGCATACTGAGTGGTGTACATGTAACATAAGGCCTGGATCACAATCATCCTGATGTCTGGGCGCCAGCTGAATCGCCTGCGCCAACAGCTGGCTCAGCAGGAGCCCGAGCCGGCCACCGACCCTCCCTCCAGCGAGGAGGAAGAAGAGGAGGACAGTGGTCCCAGCAACCCATTCGCCCTTCTTCAGGACTCGGTAGGTTCTGCATGCCGCATGGAGGCGTGCATGTAGCTCCACACTTTGTTGGAGCCTGGTGCAGCATGGTGCTTTGGTATTCTGCTCCATTGTGCTCTACCTCCTCCATCCGCACGAAAGTGCTTATCCCAGAGCTCTCATGGCAGCATTTTCACTGCCAGTGCCCAATGTATATACCTGCAGGACGAGTCTGAAGCAGAGAGGGAGGCTTCCTCGCAGGAAGAGGCATCGGATGATGATGCTGCGATGACCAGCGCCGTCGGCGCGCCACCCACAAAGCTTGCCCCCGCCTTGCCTCCCCCAAAGCAGCCGTCCAAGCGCCAGCAAGCCAGGGAGGAGGAGGACATCGACAAGGTTCTGGCGGAGCTGGGCATCGACCAATCCACCACCCCTGCACATAACAGCACGAGTGCGCCCAGCCCTGACGGGTCGCAGGCCCCGACTCGCCCCACTGCGGCGCCGGCCAAGCCCCTCCTGGCCGTGAATATGCGGGTGCTGAAGGCCTCCGACGAGCTGAAAAGGATGTTTGGCGCCGCCGCCGTGCGCGAAGACGCCGAAGATGCCGGCGCTGCATACGCAGGTGTGGGGGATCGCTAGGGCCTGGGTGGGCTTTGTGTAGGGGATAGGGATGAGTATGAGCTGAAGGGAGGGCTGGCTGGGCGAAGATGGGTCAAGGTGAGGTCGCCATCCTCCATGCACGGTTTGCTGGGAGTTATTCCAGTCTCCTCAACAACGCCTGCTGCTGCTTGGCATGTGGTTGCCATGATTTCCGTAGTTGACTTGCCTCAGATGTCCATCATTCCACCCTTCTTCCAGGCGCCAGCCGCCGCATCCGTCGGCTGGCTGCGCGGGGCCTCCTGCGCACCCAGAAACTGAAGCCTGGGGTGCTGATTGACCCTGGGGAGCACTGGCCGCCTTTTGACGGCGGTTTCACCATGGAGGCCAGGGGCCCCACTGCGTCCCAGACCTTTTCCTACGTCTACTCCGCCGGCTACCAGGTTTGTGGTTGACCCGGAGCTGCCTCCACTACCCTGTGGGGACCAGGCGGGTATCCATTTGCGCTGTGGATGCACCCGTGCGAAACTTGATCCTCGCCAGTCTGCTTGACACGTGGGCATGCTTGTCCACATTGAGGAACATGGTATTGCGATCTGTGCTACATCCACCAGAGTCCATGCTTTCCTCCCGACAGGCTGTCCAGGAGCTGTACAAGCGCTGCCAGGCCAGCCACGACCCCAACGCCGTAGCTGCTCTGCTGCATGTGAGGCGGCGAGGGGCTGCTACCTGCCTTGCTCCTTTTTAGGGTGATCCATGCATGCATGTATGGAGATGGCAGCGGGGATGCCGGCCAGGCCCCTGTATTAGATGTTCCGCCCATGCTCACCGGCACTATGCTGCACTCGCCCACCCTGCATCCCACAGACAGCGCCATATCATCTGGATGCGCTGCTGACGATGTATGACCTGAATCGTGCCATGGGGGAGAATGCTGCTGCAGGTGGGAATCTTATGGCTGCTTGTGTCGGGGAGGAGCTCGGGTGGAGCTTCTTGGTTCAGCAATGGGTGGGTGTGATGGAGTGGTGTGCATGCAAATGTGATAAACTTCAAGACTACGTCACATACTTGGATCGTCCAATTTGTCCATGTTGTCTACCACTTCAGACATCTGGCGTGAAGTCTTGATCTCAATCCCCGATCAAGCTTGAGCCCTCCTGGAACCCCCCTCTCCTCCCCCTTGCACAGATGAGATGCTGCACCGGTGCCTGTACGCGCTGGAGATGGCATGGCACCCATCCTTCTCCCCCGCGACAGGCAACAGCCATGTCGACTACTCGGAAGGCAACCTCCCCCTCTTCCTCGCCCTGTCCCAGTGCGTCTTCTTGTAGTAGGGAATTGGTACTTGGGGATGGTCCCTTGGTCGGCACATGCACTCGCCCGCCGGATCTGTTGGCCTGGTGCAGCCCAGGAGCGACTGTTTGTGCCGGATTCAGGAAGGGTGTGATGCTTGGAGCCATGCCTCCGGAGGGTACCCCTCCGACCTCTATGAGCGTCCCCACCCCTCATTCAAAGGACCCCCTCTCCACCCCCTCCCCCACGCCAGGTACGCCCAGTGCCTGAGCCGGCGGGGCCTGCACCGGAGCGCGCTGGAGGTGTCCAAGCTGCTGCTGGGCCTGAACTCGGAGGACCCCACCGGCGCACGCTTCAGCATAGACTACTACGCGCTGCGCGCTGGGCAGCACCGGCTGGTGCTGGGCCTGGCGGCGCAGGGGGGCGCCGGCGGCTCCATGGCCCTCTTCCCCAACTTTGCCTTCTCCTCTGCGCTGGCGCGGCGCGCCCTGGGCGCCGGCGGCGAGGCCGACGACGCGCTGCTGAGGGCGGTGGCCACCTTCCCCACCGCCGTGACGGCGCTGGTGGCTCGCGCGGAGGGGCGGGGGGGTCGGACCCCGGCCTGGGCGCAGACGCTGGGCCGCCCCTTCTTCGCGCAGGCGGCCAGCGACAGCGCCACCCTGGACCATCTGGTAGAGGTCTTTGTCGAGCGCCAGCACCTCCTGTGGAAGGTGTGCTGCTGTGCAGTGTGTGTGGACGCAACGCGGTGCCCCTCCTTTTCTGTTGGAGCCCAACACCAGGCGATGCCCTACTGGTTTGATCAACTGTCGCCTCCGTGCACCGACTTCCCTCATGCCGATCCGCGACCCTTCCCCCACCCCCAACACCCCACACACCCCCTCCCGCAGCCGCCGGCGGTGCTGGAGTGGCTGCATGGGCAGTGCGAGCGCGCTGCCACCTCTGACGCCCCCCTCCCCGACGGCCTGAGCCGGGGGGACTGGGCTGCGGCGCGAGAGGCCGCGTACCCACCCTGCGCGGTCAGTGCGTACCGCGGCGTGCTGCGCGCGGCGGACTTCTCGGATGCCGTGGCGCGCCTGCCCCCGGAGGAGGTGCATGGCCTGGGACTGGGCGCCGGCAATGGGGGCTTGGAGGACCTGGACCTGGCGGACGTGGAGGCCGAGCTGGCGGGCGCGGCGCGGGCGGGGGGGGGCGGGCCCGCGCCGATCCCTGGGGAGGAGCTGGCGGAGGGGGGCACGCTGCGCGCCCTGCTCCGCTCCTTCCTCCCCTGGCTGAACGCGGGGGAGCAGCCAGACTACGAGGGCGCGGAGGAGGAGGAGCGGGAGTGAGCTGCACGGGGTGGTTGGGCGCGAGCAAGGGTGGAGCTGGCAAGGGTCGGCGCCGACGCCGACCGGAGTGGCGCAAGGAGGGACCCCGATCTGTGGGGAGCTTCATGGGGGAGAGACCCAGCCAGCTGGAACGATGCATCCCGCCTGCTTGTTCAGCGCTGAACCCGCGCGCCTGTCGTGCGCTGAATGAGATTTCCAGGGTGGATGCCTGCTCTGTGCTGCTGCTGCTGCCCTTCCAGGCATTTTCGAACCCCTGTCAGAAGGCGCTCCATTCAGAGCCCGGGGCAATGATTGGCAGCGGTCGGGGAAGTCAGGAGCAGCATGCAGCATGCAAACAGGCTGCGCTCATCGAGGGGCCAAGGGGCGCCCACACGCTGACCAGGCACCTCCCAGGCTGCATCCCTGGCCCTGCCGTGCATCAGGAGTATTGACGCTCACATCCGCGAGCTCGGCGAGCTGGACCATCACACCACACACGCTCACTGCGCCCTGACCCCCGTGCGCTGATGCGCGTGGAGCTGCACAAAGGCGGCCTCGTCGTCGCTGCTGGAGGACAGGTCGTCGTCGTCCGCCTGGATCTGCAGGGAGATTGGCCGACGGGGGATTTGGGCGTTGGATTTGAATGTGCAGCACTGCATCGAAGGCTCGGCTCCGGGCTCATTGTGTCGAGGTCCGACGTGCAAAACACAGGCAAGGAAGCTCAGGGGGGCGTGCAGGCTGGCGGACCCCTGCGGGCCTCCAGGCGCAGCGCATTCCGTAAATCTCATTATCCGTTCAAGTCTGGCGGCTACCCACATCTTTCCCTCGTCTCCCCCTCACCCCTCCTTTTCACCATACACCATCCCCCCACATACCTTCCAGCCCTCGGCGACGAGGGCGAGGCGCACCGCCGTCAGCTCCGCGCCGGCCGGCACACCCTGCTCCGTGAGCGGGGTTCCGGCCTCCAGCTCCCGGCCCTGGAACAGCAGGCGCTCCCAGGGGCCCTCAAATCCCTCCAGCGCCAGCAGGTCGGCGACGGGGGCCCAGCCCTGGGCTGCCGCGGTGGCCGTCAGCACGTCCGCGGGGGTGGCCGTGACGGGGTCCAGGTCCAGGGCAATGTCGTCCAGCAGGTCGGTGGTGGTGGCCATGGTCTCCTTCCAGTATAGGCTCCAGCGCTCCCGCTGCAGCCGGGGGTGCACGGTGAGGCCCCCCGCCCCGCCCCGCAGCCGGGACACCAGCTGCAGCGTGGCCCCAGACGCGATGGCATAGGAGGCAAGGGATGCGTCGGCATCCAGGGCGCGACCGCCGTGGATCAGGCGCGCGGCGTGGGCCGGGACGGAACCTGTCGAGGTGGTGGGGAGGTGTGCCATGGCTTGAATCCCGGGACGCCTGCGGAGCAAAGGACAGGCCACTCATCCCCTCAAAACCCTGCCAAACAAGTCTGAGTATCATTTCAGCTCACCTTCCCGGTCGCAGGCTGCCTGCAGCAGCGTCTGCACGGTGGCACCCTGCCCGACCTCTACCACGCAGGTACGGTCACCACGCACGAGCAGCTGCATGCTGGGGGACTCTCGATCTTTGATGGGGCAGTGCAGTGGTCAGAGATGTGGTGGGAACGCAAGTACGAATATTCTGCTCGCTTATCTTTGCTCTGGTTGAGGCTCCGATGGGGCAGTCAAACCAGGATGGCGCCCTCGTTGACCCCTCCTGGAGGAGCCTTCAACCTTTCTTTTTCCCAGGGCATCGTGTCCCTGCCGAATGCGATCCGCGATCTAATCTGATTCTTTGCACCAGCGTTCGCGGTGCGCGTGTCCACAGGAAGCCAAAACAGAGACAAATCTCAGGTGCAACCACTTTGCACACTGGTAGCACGTCCTTGGGATACACGGAGCTCCCTTCGTCCTCCCGTGGTGACGTGCTCTGCCCGTACATGACCGCGAGGCCGACCCCCTACGTCGTCTAAGCAGCAGCATGCTCCAGTCTCCTCGCATCCAGACCACTCGCTCACACACGGAACATGGGGTGCTGTCCCTTGTCCGCCCTGATGCTACGAGACGGCGCAGCGCCTCCCCCTCGCCATGCCGGGCCCTGCCCCTGCTCCCCCGCCGGCCGGCGCCTGCGCAGACGGCGGCCGACTCCTCCTCGCTGCACACCCCCCTGGACATCCTGAAGCATGACCTGGAGTACATGGAGGGGGCCCTGGGCGCCCTGGTGACGGTGCACGAGGACCTCGTGGCCGCGCTGAACCCCCTTGCGGCGCAGCGCATGCTGATGGACCTTCATGCCGAGATGAAGGTCCTGGAGGTCCAGCTCCAGGCGGCCCAGCTCCAGCTGGCCGCCAACGAGGCAGCCCTGCAGGAGAGTGTGAGCGTGCTGGACTCCATGCTCGACCGCGTGAGCAGGCCAGGGCTGGGCGCAAGGCTCGGGCATGATGGCAGTGGGGCGGGCGATCGCCCGGTGGGTGCCACTCCGCCTGCTGCTCAGTCCCAAGCACGGGGTCCGGGAATTTTTGCCCGACCGCGCGAGCGACTGGCCAGCGGTAGCGACGAAGCGGCACCCACCTGGCGTGCCGTCGCCAGCGCCAGCGTTCTGAGGAAGAAGGGGGCCATGGCCACCGCGGAGGTCCTGGGCCAGGTGAGCTGAGGTGTGGTGCCACGTTCCGGTGGAGGACTCGATGCCTCGAGGTGTACACATCATTCACAGCCTCCTCCAACCTGCCGCCCTGCCGCGGCGTCTGCAGGTCTACCTCCTGTTCCGGGACGCCAGTGGGGCGGTGGCATGCATAAAGGACCAGTGTGCCCACCGGGCGTGCCCACTCTCCTCCGGCAAGATCGTGGACGGCTGCGCGCAGTGCCCCTACCACGGCTGGCAGTATGATGGGGCCGGCGGCTGTGTCTCCATGCCCTCCACCGTCTTCCAGCAGGTGAGGCCGCAGGGGTGTTGGGGAGGCTGTGCGTGCAGCGCCGGGTACTGTGCGGGGTACGCCCGCTGCTTGTAGTACCTGCTCCTGTTGACCGTGCCTGAAGCACAGCCAGTGACCCTTCCCTCCAGGGCATCTCTGTGGACACGCTGCCCGTAAAGGAAGCTGAGGGGAAGCTATGGGTCTGGACCACCGACCCCAATGCCGCCGCTTCCAAGTGACCTCGATCTGCACCCCATCGGGTGAGCGCTCCCTCCCCCCTCCCCTCCTCCCGCGCCCCCCCTTGTTCGTCCAGTGATCGACCGGCATTTCATTCACACCCTGGCCATGCAGCCACATGGCAATGTATACAGATCTGGCAGGCGCGGCTGCCTCGAATCTTTTCCACCAAGTGCTCTTGCAATGTTGTGTCACACAAGGATTCCACAAGACACTGTGTGGCAAGGGAGCAGGCTGCAAGGCACGGCCCCAGAAAGGCCTGTGGTCCGACGGCCTGGGGTGCGCTCCTCGACATACGGAGTGGTGGGCCTTGCGCTGGGTCAGTGTGCTGTGTGAGAGCCCAAAGGAAGCGGGACGGTGCATTTGAGACAGGTCGCTAATTCACAAGCGTGGCCAGGCCGCCATGGTGCCCCACCTCGGCATGTAACGGTGACCTTCACGACGCCGAGCGCATTCTCATCCCGTGGCCTGCGCAGCCTGATCCCGCCCGACATCCGCATCAGCGCGCGCGGGCTGCCCCACTCGCCGCGCCTGGCGCGCCGCCAGGCGCTGCTGCAGCCACATGACTGCAAACATGACGCTGGCGCTCTTTGCCAGGCCCTCGTCAGCCAGGAACGCGGGAATACTGGCAAGGGGGAGGGCCAGCACCTCGATGGCCTCGCCCGCCAACCTGTGTGACGGCATGCCATCAATGGAGCTTGGAGGGGATTTGGGGGGAGGGCCAGTCGGAGCTGCGAGTCAGATCTTTGCACCCCCACCTCCCTTCGGGTTTGGTGGACCCTGGGGACTGAAAGGAGTGGCCTCCGACAAGTATCTCCTCGTCCAGCCCCCCCCCCCAACCCATCAATGCTTACCCGAGCCCGCCCCGTGTGGGCAGAGCCTGGCTGTCATCCACCTCCGCCAGGAAGAGCGTCATGCGGGGGCCGCTGATGCCGAGGGCCGTGATGACGCTGGTGATCTTCTCCAGGTCAGCCTCCTCGACGTGGAAGCCGCACTCCTCGTTGATCTGCGGCGGGGAGAACCAGGGTTGGAGTGCGGCAGATCAGGTTGGGGGAAGTGGAAGGGCGGGCAGAGAGGGAGATGTCAGAACGCATCGCATGCGCTATGAGGATGACTGGCAGTGGTCATCATCAGATGTTCTTCCCTCGTTACACATCGTGCATCGCAGGCAGAAACCCAAATACAACCTGCCAGCCACCCACCTCCTCCTGCATGATCTTGGTCAGGGGTAGGCCGCGCTTGTCGACAATGCCGGCGCAGAGCTCGTAGGTGAACCCCACGGACATTGGGGGCGTGGGCTCCCCTGCTGCCTCCGCCGCCCGCATGGCAGCAGCATACACCTGGCCAGTGTACGGTCGCAGGGGGCAGGGGGGGGACGGTGGATGTGCGGGGTCTAAACCTCTTCCCACCAAGACCTCTCCCCTCCATTCCACCCCCTCACGTGCCACTCACGGCAGGTCTGAACTGGCGGACCATGATGAGCGAGTCCAGACCCTTGTGGAGCAGCACACAGGCGACGGAGGGGTGGGACTCCACCGCGTCCCAGCGCCGTTTCCGGCCGTCCAGTTGGTACATGATGGAGTAGGGCCTGACAAACGCGCTGGACTGCATGGGCTGGAGCTCGACGCCGCTGCTCATCCTGCCGGGTGGGGTAGGGGCCACAATCCGGGGTAAAAAGAGGGCCCTTCTCGTCCCACAACTCACTGCACCTCCATGTGGCATGCTTGAGAGGTAAGGCACAGCGCTCTGAAACCCATTTCTGTTCCAGCAACGCGCATCAGGCCCAGTCGCCTCTCGGCCTGGAGTTCATTGAGGGTGCAGCTCACATCGCAACCCTCCTCCAAGGAATCATACGCCCCTCACCTCCTCAGCGTGGCCTGCATAGGGTCCCCACCCACCATCGGCCTGAGACCATGTGGATACCAGTCACTGCTCACGGCATGGCTAAAACTCATGGTGTCGACAGGAAACCCTGCAGCACCTGTTTGTAGAGGGAGAGCGAATGTGGGATCCCTCTTGGGGCACTGACCAGAGAATTGAGCCCGTTGGAGTTAGCGACTTCAATTGATTTTCAATATGCAGGATACATTGCGTTGTGAATCTGCAGGACAATACCCGACCGCGTACTCGAGGAGGAGCGGGCTTGTTGCGCGCATGTGTGGCTGAGCCCGGCGGGGCACCGGTGGACCGCCGGCGACAGGCACAGGTTGTGCCACAGGCGACAGAGCCGTGTAGCAGGCACTCTGCCCAGGGACGATGCGAGCATTGCAGCCATGGTGTTTCAGGCCGATTGAGAAATGTCAGAGAGGGTTTTGGTCTCGGGATGCGAGGGAGTGACTAATCCTGACGCACGCACCAGACAAATACCATGTAGGACGATTGCTAACAAGCTGCACCCACACCTTGGACTTCAATCTGGAGTTTGTACATATAAGTACTGCTTCGATATGTGTCACAAGTGCTTGGCGTTGAAATGTTCCGAAGTATGGGGTCTAAAAGCTGCCCACCCAACTGCCAATGTTTTTAGTGCTCTCTTTTCGTCGCAGGGAGGGCATGCCGGATTGAAAGACTGCGCAAGGCGTCTGTCAAGGCGTAACAAGCTTTCATATTCCCAGACGGATATCCCCCAAAAGCCGCGCATGTAGAATAGCCCCCTTGAATGTTTCCCTACCTTGGCCATCCCGGACGATATAGATCCCCGGCCCTGACGCCAGCCGAGTCGACCCAATTTTGAATAAGAGATGAAAACGAAATGTATCGCTTGAACGGGCTCCGAGGGTCCAACGCCGGGCACATCCGATTTTGCGACTTCGCATGGCCTTACCTAGACGATGTAACTGCACGAGGCAGATTGTCATCCGAAGTAGGCAGAGGAACGGTAGAGTGTCGTGCACAGGGGCGATGGAATGCATCCAGCGCACATCGGTTGTGCTGGGCATGTGGGGAGCGTAATCGGGTGGCAAAGAGGCGGGCCGCGATTGCTGGCAGATGGCGCCGGGCAAAGCGCCGTGGCCTAGGCAAAAAGCGGCAGGGGGCCGGCCCAAGTCAAGAAGCCCGCCGCCCTCCAGGATGCCACGATCAGCAGCAGCACTAGGGAGGATTCCAAGAAGCCGGCCGTTCCGTCACCTGTGCCGCCTGTACAGCCTGCTACCCTACCACGAAAGATTTGAGGCGGTGCACATCAGGGGGGAACATGACCAGGCTTGAGGGCCTCCTACGGCGGCATGAGAAACTTCACCCCGGCGGCGTGAGAGCTTTGACTGGCCTCGACAAGCCCACCCCAGGAGACTGTATCGGTGCGCCAGTCTCCTGAGTGGGCCGTCTCCATGCCCGTCAGACCCTGCACCCTCACACGGCCGTTATGACAATTCTCAAGCTGGCGCAACAGGCCCTACAGCCTGGTCAGGGTCCCCCTACATGCACCGTCTCGAATCACTGGAGGTACGAAGCAGGCCGACCAGACGGCAGAGATGCCATAGCACGCCCGGCTCCTGGATCTTTCCATGCGGCTGCGAGTCGCAGGACTCGGGGGGCTGGCATCTTGACATGGGCATGGCCCCCGCCGCCTCTTGCCCAGGCCACGGCGCCTTTTCGTCGCGACCTTGGCAAGAATCGCGGCCTGCCTCTTCGCCGCGCTCTTGCGCTTCAGGCAGGTGAGCTTGTCGCTATGTGCGATGGCCTCCGGATGAGCACCATCTTAAGCGCATGAGCAGGCAAACAGGGCGGGCAGGGTTTGTGGGTGGCCAGCATTGATGGAAAATTGACAACGGTCGGAGCCAAGGGATGCAGAGCAGTCTGTTGCCCAAGCTCCAGAGCGGTCCGTGCAGCCCGAGTCGGATCCCACCCATGCCGCCGCCTTTGACATTCCGACCTCCCGGGTACGCTGCATTCCGACTCCTTGACGCATGCTGGGACTCACCTTAATGTTACAAGATGGTAGGATGGCGGTAAGGGAGGCGCGGGTCACCACGCGGTGTGGACGGGGAGCGTACGTGCAGATGAGGCGCACACACCGCGACCAAAAGGGGTGGCTCCTGTTCTTGTGTACGGAATAGATGCCAAGAAAAGGCTAGACAAGAGCGATCAATCGAAACCCCAGTCTCACGGTCTTATCAAAGAAGCGCGGGCGCCCCCCCGGGTCCGTCTGATCTCGCATGGCTGCCCTCAGCTGCACTCAGCATGTCCTTGCACCCAGAACTCATGGTCACCAGTCGCGAGCCGGTGTCGCGACCATCGATCTAGCTGCGCGTCATGACGATTGGTAGGCTCAGATACCTGGACAGCCGTGCGGTCACACAAGATATGGAGGAGCAAGGGTATGGGTTGTCCTTACAAGCTGTAATGCAATGCCTGCATCAGAGGCTGCAGTCCATACAACTCGATGGAGTCCCTGCTCAAACCTGAAGCTCGCTCAGGGGCGCCCCCTGGGCCACACCCTTCCAGTCTCGGCCGCCCCTCCAGACTCATGGCCATGATGAATCTGCCCTGGCGCCGCACGTTAGACGCGTCTTCTTGAGCACAGAAAACGTCGTCTCCGCTCGCCAGACTTCCCACACCAGCTCACCCCTGTAGCCATTCAGTTCTCGGTCCCACCATTGTTCAGAGCCCCTACATGGTGAACTCCAGGCTGGTCGGCGGCTGCTCTTGCCCTGATTCCGGCAGGGCTGATTCCAGCAAGCCCAGCGCCAAGGCCTGGCACACCCCTCTCCCTAACCTTGCCAACCACCATCCGATCCGATTCCTTGGGTCGAAGATGGGGTCCATGCATGGTGGGCTCGACCACATGCTGGCAGCTGTGCAGGAGGACAGGGCGGGTGCAGCAAACAGAGGTGACCTGCGAGATGTGCATGGTGTTGCTATTCCCAGCAAAGTGCCATGTGAGCTTTCATCCCCATGTAACGCTTACACTCCAATGCTACTCACCCACACCAAGGTGCTGAAGCAATCAACAATCCACGCACTGACACAGGCAACACCGTGGCATCCAAGGCCGGCACCAGCAGGAGGCGCGGCAAGGAGCCGGTGCCAGTTGCAGGACCCCCACTTGATACCCCTCCTGACCTGGCCTCGGCATCCGCAGAGCCTGACACTCAAGGACTGGACAGTGCCACCGGCCCACACCCTGTGGACAGTAGCAGCGCACCTGCACCGCCGCTGAGCACCCCAGGCAACCCGGCCCTTCACCTGTGAGCGATACACGGTCAACGCGAAATACAAGCGGCTGGCGGCATGGGTTCTTCTAGTCATTGAGAAGGGAGCGCAGGAGGAGCGCGCTGCACTCTACAAGTACCTTGTGGAAGCTGATCCGCCTGTGCTGCCCACTTGGTCGGCTGATACCATCCCCGACGAGCGGCACATCAAGGCCAAAGCACGCCGCACCCCCTCCCATCTTGAGAAGGGAGGCGGCAAGAGGGGGCAGACTGCTTCAAAGGGCACATGAACGCCAAGGTTACCTTGTTACCTGCTGCGATTCTCATGTTCATAAGCGATCAGCTTAGCAACCAGGCAGGCAGAGCGTGTGCGTGGCAGCACTTACTTCGGACGGGCGAGGGAGAGGACGGGACCGCCCTCCTGTCGCACCCCCCCCTGGGGCCGCTTGAGGCCTCCACGGGCGGGGGCACCGGGCACGACCGAGACATGCAGACTACGTTCCATCGTCCTCGTACTCGATAATCTACCAGTGCACTGACAATTCAACACAACAATCTGCATCGCGCGGCGCGTTCGCACCCCAACGGGGCATGGCAGAGTCTCGCAAAGTTCGAAAATCTGTCGACCAAACGAGGGGCCCTCACAACGCGACCACGCATTAAAACTTCTAGAAAAGGGCTTATCCAACGATGTTTGAGAGGGGTATGTCGGTAGATGTGGGAGTTGCGACTTCTCCCGGGGGGTGGAACATGTTCTTGAATTGTATTCCCCACTGCCGTGACTGACGTGCACAGAGGAGTCGAGGGGGTCTGTGTGGTGATGCTGACCGGATGACTTCCGCGTGGGGAAGGGAGATGAAAACGCGCGCTTCAGGCTCATGGAGATCAATGGCTTGATTCATGTCCTATACGGAAGCTGGAAACGTTGGGTTTCGTCTTCCGTGAGTGGTATGGACCGTGTATGTCTGGACCGGCACGGGCGCTCCGGATTCCCGCCACGGAACCTCCGAAGCCGTCCCGCTTTGCCCCGGCAAAAGCGGTCAGGTCGCAATCCTGTGCATTGCCCAGGGTTCATCTGGTATGACTCAGAATACAATAGAGGGGCCCACGGATCTGAGCGCTTTCTAATACGAGGCGCTGCCTCGCACTCAATCTAGAGGCGAACCAAGTTGGCGGAAGGGTGTTCGTGCCTCAAGTTGAAGGATGGCTTCGGCGGTCAGGATCCCTGCCATCCTGAGCGGACTAGTGCTGCTGCTCGCAAGATGTGCCTTCGCGGTGAGCCTGGGTGCACTTGAATCGATGCCGACTCTGCGTCAGCCGCACTGTGTGCTCCCCTGCTTCACATTCCTCACCACCTTCCCTCCATGAAAGCAGGCCACCTGCAGCTCCACATTCGTCGCGCTACCCAGTGCAATGTAAGTAGAGTGCTGCGTGCAACAGTTGGGAATTCCGTCCAACTCTGGTGATGTCCCTGCACGTACAACTCCGTCCCGCCCAAGGATCCGGCTGGCGGGTTATCTGTCCAGAGCCCTCCCTGCAAACTTGCTCCCTCAGTCACGCTGATACACATTGCATCCGTGCCGCGTCATTGATGAATATCTGAACACCTTTGTGATTTCATGGTTCTCCACATGCTCGACTCCTCGCAGTCTGGGGCCGCATGTGTATCTTATGACAGTAGACAATGTAGATGCCATTTGCAAGTGAGTAGTGCGTGAGGGATGTGAGTGACAGCGCATCCGCTTACACAT